CAGTAATGACAAACATAAATTTATACACTCACGTCTCTTATCCCCGAAGGGGTCGCCATAGGCGTATTAAAGGCATAACTTTATGACTGACTGACTGCCGTAAATCGGGCACAAATATATATTGTCCTGGGTAGGTACGACCACCTACCACCTCTAGTTTAGTAGTCATCACTAGAGACCGGATTATATGCATTTGCATATTTGCATATGCTTTTGCTTATTTAAGCCATTCTCGACGGTAATAGCATATTATACCAAACATCTAGTTAAGATGCATATTTATCGGTACATTTACAATATTTTTCCGAGTGCAATGCATTCACCCTGTGTTCCGAAATGCGATAAAAGCGATAATATCGCGAATTCGACCCGGAACGCAGTCAGTAGCCGCGCGCTTCTTTTGTTTTGACAGTTACGATAAAAAAAATAATCATGTAATATTACTGTACTTATTATCGCCAATTATAAAATAATTTACTCATTGTATGCTGATTTTGAAATAAAAAAATTGAAAACTTACTTTTCTCCTTTTTTTGGGGGTTCCTAAAATTTATCATTTAATTTCGCATATTTTGCCAATTTTCGTGGATATTTCAATCGATTTCATGCATATTTGCATGCATATAACAAGCTTTTTATGTTGCATATAATCCGGTCTCTAGTCATCACTAACCACTGGACCAATAGACACATCGGCCAATCAATCTTTAATCAGCAATGATTTGATACAATTACATTTTATATGAATTCTAGCGGCTGTATATCTATACTAATATTATAAAGCTGAAGAGTTTGTTTGCTTGAACGCGCTAATCTCAGGAAGTACTATTCCGATTAAAAAAAAATCTTTATATATATCATCACACTATATATCATCACGCTAAGCCCGATAGGAGCGGAGCACCAATGAAGAATGTTTAAAAAACGGAGAAAATTTATTACTATTGAGAGACGCAGACGAAGTTGCGCGGGTCAGCTAGTAGATTATAAACTTTAATTTCATTCAGTGGCAGTCCACTTCTCTCTAGCTCAAAGCTTAGATTCTAATCGCTACCTACACTCAATACATGCATGATCAATTTAGTACCAAAGTGAAGTTGATCAGAGATAAAAATCCTATAGTCCTATCGAAATTTACACATTAATTAAAAGAAGAGAGGCCTTCATCCTAATTTTAATAAATTTCTTTGTAATCGTTTCAATTTTATGCTGAGACCACTTTGAGCTCGAGCTTGCCTGAAATGTTAAGTTTTCTCTTTCTTAAAATCTTTTTTGCGCTAATAATAAAGAAAAACTGAATCATTAAAGAGTCAATTTCTCTTTATTAAATATCAAAACTTATACCGTGTAAATCTGTCTTTACAAATTGCACATTATCGTCACGTACAAACCAATGACCGAGTTGGCACCTTTTTTAATATTCATAGCCGCGTCCCTACTTAGTATTCCGACACTGACTGCTCACACCATCCTAATATAGATTTATTCTACCATAACGGGACGTTTAGACAAGTTAGGGTTTATTTTTTTTAAATAAAATTTACAAGAATCATCAGACCTTACGGTAGTGAAAAGGTCAATTCTTGTAATAAAAGTTCGGTCACAATTTAGTTCCAATTAACTCTCGATCTCGCAAATGTTATAAAATATATTTTGCGTAGTGAAATATTACTAAGAACAGCAGATTACCGATTCAATTTTCGGTTACAATATGATTTAATCACATTACAGTCAACATTTGTTTTTTAATGATTTACTACGAAAATACCTTTTATGACAGTTGTGAAATTGCGAATTGATCGGAACTGAATTGTGACCGAACTTTTATTACGAAAATTAGTCTTCTGATATCTGATCTGACGGTCAACTTTAACACTGTGCGTGTGCACTGATTATCTGTTACACACTTCCGTCCCCTTTCATGAAATCACTCTCACATATTGCAAAAAAGATTGAAAACAAAATGTCACACATTAAATAGTTCACAGTTTTTTCATTTTTCATCGAAATCGGGATACCGGATATCGGGATATCGAAATCGGGGTATTTCGCAGTTAACGCCACTACTGCATTCATTATAATTAAAATATATGTCATTAGCGGTGTAGGATCCATCAACTGCATCTAACAGTCCACGGCTGGGCATAGGCCTACGAAAAGGCCTTAGAAAGGATGTTATGGCCTACTGTACCACACTGGCCAGACGTGTTGGTATGTTGTCTACCTTCCCTTTAAATGTACACCAAATATTCAAATATTTAATTTCTAAAGTGCTTGAATAAGGTTGCTCTATAATGCAATAATATACGTGAGTGGGACCAAAATTACAGTTGAGAAATTGGGTTTTAATTATGTCTTTGTGTACCCCTTTCTATCATTATAGGACAACCACAAGTGAGAGAGGGAGAGCCATGCTTCGGCACGAATGGGCCGGCTCGACGGGAGTGATACCACGGCCTCACAGAGAACCTGTGTTGAGCAATTCTTTCGTTGCCTTTCACTGAGTGAGTGAAGTTACCGAAGCCCAAATCCCCCCTCCCGCTGACTCGAGCAGGAGGGACTCCAAGGTCAGCAATGCACTTGTGACTTTTGAGTTGCAGGTGTCCATGGGCGGCGGTAGTTAAAAAAAGGTGAGTTTACAGGTGACATTGACAGCTTACCTTCAGGGTGGTACCACATATGATATTATTATGACTATTGAGATTTAGATTGCACTTTGAAATGTAATATAGTACAAATATTCTCATTGTATAAGGATGACGCCACAGCATGTTGCTATGTTGTATTTACATCGTGGTTAGCAAAAAACTTTCAAACAATAGCCTATCTACAAAATACACAATCATTTCCTTCGAACTTCACGCATTTCAAACCGAAAAGTAATATTAAACGGAACTCCGTCATGCAGACAATGTCCATTACACAAAAATAACCATTTAAAAGAATTATAATATACCTTTATTATTCTTTTACATTATCTATATCGTTCCAGTCACGGTCCTACCTAGCGTGACATTACATTTATATTAATTTCTTTTTTTTTTTCACGCTACCACTTCTAAAGACATCAATTATTTCCGAATGGAGGATCACGTACAGGACACAATAGGCTAGATGCAATTGTACTATATGTTGAAAATTTTCTTAACAAAATAATTTAAAACATAAAAGAAGTGTTACTGTAATGTTTTTATTTAAATTATATTGAATTTAACAATAATTACGAAGAAAAATAACGTGAAACGGCTGATTTTAAAACACATATCAGTGTATGGCGAAATCACTTCCTAGAACTTATTATATCTATGAAAGTAAACAAAGGACATACATAGCTTACATGAACCCTAAAAACATTGCAATCCCTTTTTTCGGCAATCCTTTCAAGAATCAATTCCCAAGTTGGACGAACTATCTACATTTAATTTTCTTTTGCCTGAGGTACCTAAAAGGTTTAATGGTTTGTCATTTACTACTTGACATTCAAAGATTCAACGATATTTATGTTAACGGTTTCAGTCCTCGGTTGTAGCTGGATTTGAAATAGCTTATGAAATTAAAAATTAAGCTATGAAGTGCAAGAAGATTAAATTCAACTGATAGTTCTTGACAGCGCAGCGCAGTTAAAAATAAAACTTTGAAGAGACTATAAAAGACGCTCTAAGTCCAAAGCTAAATTAATAAGTAATTAAAATAAATACATACATAAGTAACAAATTTTATTTATTAGTTATTGGTTGAAGGCAATGTTTAAGATGTTGGAGTGAAAGAAATGAACACTTTTTTTGCGGAAATTCCCTCGGATAGCCTCCACAACGTCCCCCGCGCGACCGGTGCATGTGTGAGGGTATAATTTAACTTAAACAAGGCATTAAACAACAACAGCAATAAATGGTTTTATATTTAAAAATTCGGCGAATCGGAACTATATAGCATGTTTTTAAGTACATTGGTGATTTTCAACAAAAACGGTGTAAATGCTATCCGCAGTGATTGGAATGTCACCTCACCTCTGTCATAAAGTTTTACGTGCCTTACATAACATGTAGATTTCGCAATAAACACTATTTATGATACTATAAATAAGCTTATTAAAGCTTTATAGTTACGTATTAACAAGAAGACATTGTATGATGCAGATAATGTTCTACTGGATTTTTTTTAATCGAATTCGAAAACTAGAAGAAAATCGCAATTCTGTTGAATTTCTTTTATGTTTGTTATCTCAAAACTTCGTAATTTATATACCGATTTGAAAACATCTTTTTTTATTTGTGAGCCACGGATGATAGACCGCATAAGAAATACAATACTACGTTCCAAAACACAAATCGAAGATGTCACTCATAAACCCGCGGAGCTCCAGTGGGACTGGGCAGGACACGTTTGCCGCATGCCGATTTTACGTCGTGGTACCAGGAATTTCTTACTCACAGGTAAAAAATGGGGGTTAAACATTAGCACAACCTGGGTCCCACAAGGTGCTAAACGACAACGTGGTAGGCCCTGATCCTATTGAAATTTGCCAGAGAAACTACCACTCTTAAGGATGGAAAGTGAAGGAGTAAAGAATATATCTTATCGTGGGAGAGATCTTTGGCACAAATAGACCAGCTCAGAGCTCAGAGTTTGATGGTAAAAATAATTCCAAAGTTTTGCTACTTGCAGCTCATTTTATTTATCGATTTAGTCACAGTAAGTACGTAAATAGTTGTGTTGTGAAATACGAATATACATATAACTGCCAAAGTATATGAAAGCATTCGGAAAACCATTGGCTTTTGTAACTTTAGGGAGTACCACTTAGAACCCATAAAACTGCTTTAAAAGCTAGCTAACTAAGTAATTCTTCAAACCTTTTACTAAAATTAATTTATACGTACTATAACATATAAACAATTATTGAGTTTAATGTTTTTAAATACGATTAATAATGTCAGCAGTAAATTGATCTTAAGCAACATTAATTGCCACTAAACTCCAGTAATATTAATGGCTTCCTTTTACTGCAACGTATCCTTGGATTTGTCAGCCTTTTCACTAAAGCCTGAAAGCTTTATTTTAACTTGATTAACCTTAAAAGTTCCTACCTTATGAGGTAATCTGTAATAGAATATATACCAAGAAGATATTGCTTTAAATAACGTACAAATGGCGGATTTATCGCTAAAAATGATATCTTGCAGTCTTTGGATGGACAAAATCGATATTAGACTAAATAATAATGGGTAAAACTTAGATGCCAGACAGAGATTAAGAAGAAATTGAAAAACAAAAATATGATATGAATAGTAACTGTACATGAATAAGATGCCTCAACAGTCATCATGAATCATGTTCCTGCTCGCTCCAGGCGCCAACTCTTGCCTCCATCAAACGTGCTCGGTGGTGGTGTGGATCAATTCCTGAAGAGGGTTCCATAGGATAGGACATCATGGTTTCACGAAGATATGTGTTTATATCAATAATTTGATACAAGCATTATCTAAGAGGTCACAAAATATGTATTGAGAAGAAATATTATTCTAAATGTTATGTATTAAAACTATGTCGAAAAACTAGCATTTGTGAGATATTTTTACAATGCCGGATAAATTAAAAACATAGCTTAGGATGACTATTAATATTCCATAATAACATTATGGGATTAGATGCGTATTCTGTTACTTTAAAACGTTTAGGTGCATGATGTTATTTTATGGTATATGGTGCGAACAAGCACACAGGTTACCTAATCATAAGTGAGTCTTACAAGTGCGTTGTTGGTCTTTAAGTGTCCTCTAAAAAACTTCTACCCAGGTTAATTAAGGGTATATTATTATCAAAACAGTTTGCTAAAAAACCTTAGCAGCTTAAAAATGTTAATAGTGTTTGTAAAAGATGTTTTACATAGTTTAAATACATGTGTGAAGTAATTAGTCAGTTGAGCATTTAAAATGCCAAGACCATAATGACCCTTAGGAAAACATAATTTCTTTCGTCAGTAAACGTCAGGTTATATTATTACCATATGCAATATCTAATTTATCGTACGCTTAGTCCTGTATTTATACAGTAACTTAAAACTTTCTCAAAAAGCGCATAATGGGTGGAGTACTAGTATATGATATAAGCTCGAGTAATTCCTCGGAATTAGCTATGAAGAATGCAGAGTGAAGTTACATTTTCTACGCCACGCCAATAGGTCAAGCCAAACGCAAATATTCTGGCAAACTAACATTCGTGTCGTTCTTAATTAAATGCGGTTCAGAGGGCAAAATAATGATATGTCGCGTGTAACGATGGCGGAAAACTGCAGCCGGTATAAGCCCGAATAATGCAAGGTGAAGTTACATTTGTACGCCACACATTCGTGTCGTTCTCAATTGAATGCGGTTCCTAGAAGAATAATGATAATATTTACTTAATGAAAATAATTTCGTAGCTTAATAAGCGGCATTTGATAGAATTCTTTGTATGAAGATCTTTAATCTGTATGGTGGTGATTCAAACGTTTATACAGTAAGACTGTATAATTTTTTATTTGCAAATTTAAATAAACTTACCAGTAAAGACATTTCGGTGTTCTTAGGCATCATTGTGACGTCACCAGGCCGAACGCCAGGCCCACAGTAGGGCAGTGAGGGACCACGGTTGGGGATTCGCGATGGTGTGTGCAGGGCCAAAATTGCGGCGTGCAATCTCGCGCGAGCAGCACTTATGCCGTCCGCACCGCGGACCGCTGCTTCTACTACTTCGCTCACATCTTTCTCCCATCTGATTAAAAAAGGTAAATACACGTTGCCTAAAATTATTGTGGTCAAGTATAAAACAGATTTTACACACCTATGTGTGTCTATTTTTGCACGTATTTAGAGCAAGGTATGGAATTTTTATGTGATATTTACAAAATTAGTGTGTAACATATAGAATAGTTATAAATAGTTCTTGCTTCTTCTAGCAAAATTTATTTTGGTTGCAGAGAAAAGAATATAAGCATATGATTATGTGAGATAAGAACCCAATAAGGCGCGTACATAGTCTTTAATAACATTGTACTTGTAAGAGTTATACACGAATCTTCTCTCTACACCCCTGAATATACGTAGTAATAGCACTTATTATATACAGGTCCAATAACCCCAACCATCAACACTAAACTTTCCTTGTTAATCGTGACCCTCTAACAAAGAAAGGTATTTAAATGACCAGTTGCAATTCGAGCACAAATCTCCTAAGCATACGTAAACTACTCTGGGTTTGAGCAGTATCCCGCTGTGTCAACTTTTATCTTACGAGTATTTCATCATATGGCATGATAAGTTACCAAACAACCACCAGCATAATGACAAGTAATACTAACGTGCATGGTCCTAGACACGATCTAATATCGTCCTTCATACTTCGACTGAGAGTGCAAATTGGACTGTTGTCGGAGTCTGAAGTGGTGTGAGATCCATTATGTTTTTCCGAGTCGCTTATTCTGGGCTGGAACTGCTCGATCTTTGGTAAGTGGGGGGAGACTCGACCATGGCTGCCGCCGCCGCTGCCGTAACCTGATCTCAAGGAAAATGAAACATTACTTTAAGATTTGAAGATAGAATGAGGTATGTATTGGTGGTTTCTAGTGATTCACATAGAATTTAAACATTTCAAGTACTCTGAAATGGGCAAAAGAAGGCTACTCCTGCGTGGAAGATGTTAAATCTTTTGAGTCCTTTTTTTTAAAATAATGTATTTACATAAGTATTGCCTGTTGTATTTCATTTCAATCTAGTGAACAATACAATAAAAAAGTGTATTACCATACAATATAATTACATTAACTGATTGAAAGAAAAAAGATACCGAATATTTTGACCCGAATCCACTTGGTTAAATGTAATTCCTATAGACCGTTTCTCTTTCTACAAATGCATCAAACAAACAATAAACTTATTACTTATTTAAAAAAATTAACCTATGAAGAACGACGCCAACCATGTCGATGACCGATCAATTGGATTCTTCCATTAAAAGCTCAAAAGCGACTTTATGAAAAATAGCTTCGCCAATTCGGCTCGCATTGTTTAAAAAAAGAATTCATGTTGAAAAGGTGTGTAAAAAAAGACGGTTGTACCTGAGGACGTGGAGGGTGCTCTCCGAGGCGTCCGTGGTGGCTCCGGCTCGGGCACATCCTCCAGCGAGTCCACATTAATCACTACCTCTTGTTCTTCCTCCTCTGTATACAGAGGATTTGACCTGAGAACAGAAAATATGACAATGACAATTTAGATAATAATCTTACGAATATTATAAAGACGAAAGTTTGTATTGATGGATGGATGTTTGTTACTCTTTCACGCAAAAAGGGCTGAACGAATCTGGATGAAATTTGGCACAGACATAACTTTTACTTTAAATCTCGAAATAATGTAGTGTACCTGTGCGACGAACAAAGTACAACAGCAACCGCGGACAATACCGCGCGGCGCAGCTGGTAATAACCGACGTTCCGACACGAATAATCGAAATTTTATTTAAAGAATCACTCTAAATTCAATTGACGCATGACCTTAAATATTCTTAAAATATTACGTCACAATAAAAATCTCAATGCATGTTGTGCATACTAAACTTGTTCAAGTCATCGACCTCGTGCTGTGATTGAAGCAAAAATAAACTTTATGCACTTGTAGTAGGAAAGATTTTTAATTACTGTAAGTATTGATATGGTGTCTGATTCACAATGATTCCTGCATGTCTCCTGATTTTGGTTAGTCAGACATCGAATCCTTCGTAATTGTATTTTATCCCTTATGTCGTGAAAATTAAAGTTGAATTTGGTATTTTAATAATTCTTCTGTCAATATTATTGAGGTAGTTGCGCAAAAGTGGAAATAATATTCTATCTAGACATGAGCCATATCATTCGATTTTTTTCGTACGTAGGTTAGGGTTACTACTTACTCACGCGCTGTTTTCAGACGATGCATAAAGTCTCTATGTTGCCTATTTAACAGTAAATCTAGTATTTGTTTATGTTATTATGTAGGGAATGGTAGCTATAAATAATAAAATAATTACTAGATTTCACAGTTCACTGTGATTTTTTCCCATGTCTAATTCTATCCAGTAATATTGGTTGCCTAGTTACGAGTTATAAAAGCCTTTAATATTTAGTTCGAAGTTTGGGTGGTTTCTATGAATAATATGTATGTATTTGCGTAGTATCCTTTAAGTCAATCTAGCTTTCATAAGACAAGCTCTGATTAGTTTGAAACTAGATGGCGTTGTGTGTCAGATGTCCAAAAATATTATTATTATTATACCACTTCATCCATACTTATATTATAAATGTGAAAGTGAGTTGGTTTGTTTGTTTTTCTCCAATGGAAAGCTACATAATCAGCTAGTAACAGAGGCGACTGTTTACCGCAATAACCGACATACACGTGGGCGGAACCGCAGCAAAAGTTAGCATTATATAACGAATAAGAAAGAATTCTTTGTTTATAATCGATCAACTCATCCAGTTCTTCCGCCCTTTCAGTTCTTCCCTCCCAGAATTAATGGCAGGGGAAAGATTTGGGCTCTGATAACCTCACTCACTCGGTGAACGCCGTTCTGTGATGCTGTGGTATCACTCCAGTCCAGCTCAGCCCATATGTGTCGAAGCAGTTCATCCATAAAAAAAACAATTATTTTGTTACTTTGCGTAAGGTTACCAGAAGATCCCGTCTTAGGAAAATTTGGTGGTGGTACACAAAGGGTGATGCGACTGCGACATAACTAAACGCAAATAACGGGCATCAGTGCGGCGTGCGAGGGGACTACCCCGATCGGTGCGGCGAGCGGGGTAGTCCCCTGGACCCTTCAACAACAGGTGACAACGCACTTGTGTCTTCGTGAGTAGTTCTTGTTGTAGTACTTCTTGTAGGTGTTAATGTGCGGTGGTAGTCAATTACCATTAGGTGGCAAAGAAAACATGTTAATAGATACATACCTGAGATAAGTTCAAGAGCTGGTATATGTGAACTCTCCCAGGTTAGACGATTCCGGTTCATTAAGTTAATTTTACATTAGATAGCCTGTTTATTGAGGAAGGAACTTTGTAACATGATGCTAAAACTATAAACGCTAGTGAAACTTCGGGAAATGACTAGTATGAAAAGCAAGCTTCGCAAATTTACTCGATGTTACCCCGAGCTGCAAGTTATGACTTCAACTTTATAACAGCCGGATATCGCACCGATTTCTTTATTATTTGGAATGTATACTTAGAAAACAATTTTACAACTAAGCTTCTATTAAACTATTTAATCTACACAGAACACTCAAATCGACCTAAATAATACTATGGAGCTTCCTCACCCTCTTGGATCTTATTTCTTAGACATACATAATCCTTTACTAAACCTTTCTTTTTTGATCGGTCGGACGGTTATGTTAAACCTTCCTGTTATATAATATATATAAAATACGTAGTGTCATAATCATGATAATTGATCCATTATTCAATAAGTTCAGTTCATTTTGAGCACTGCCAATACCAAGCTTTGAAATTAAAGAGTATAAAAGTTTACCTGAGTAAGGGCGGCGGCATCGCATCAAGCGCGCGCAGCGGGTGGGGCGGCTCGGGAAAAGCGCGCCGGCCGCCGCACGCGCACCCGGCCGCCGAGTCGCACTCGCTGCGCCCTCCACCCTGTAACACGTACACTATTCAAAAATGGGTCATATACACACATACACTCCTATATCTCGATATCTTCTTCTGACTATGATTTTAATTCCATTGACTTATTAACGGGTGTCTCTTTCACAACGATAGGCTTATTAAGGAGGTAGGTAAGGGTCGCACTTCTATCTGTTACTCAAACAGTTTGTTGCCGGTAAGTCCGTGGAAGTGAAATTTGTGAAAACGATTATAAATTCACCTGCATATCCGATACGATGACATACAAGTATCTACAGAAAGCTTTGACGACATTTAAACTTATATTGGTTAATTAAATAAACCTAAACATTATAAATTTAATTACTAATTGTCCAATACGTCCAAAATGCGATCTCTACTCCATAAAAAATTTGTATTCTTATTTCTTCACATTAATCTTCTAGATTCTTAAGTAAGTTTAAGTCAAGGTAAAACATCATCTTAATACATCATTTCAAAGAGTATTCTATAATACTATAACGCATGACATTTTGATTTTTTTATTTGTTTACTTCAAAGGTGCTGCTGCTGCTGCAAAAAAGGAAATATTTTTCATTTTTTTTTCTATTCTCTTTATTTTAACTTTGTTACCTCAGCTCTGTGACATGTGAATCGATTTGAGAAATTATTTTTGTATTTGTTAGGATTTGCTTTCCCTATTGTCTTATTCAAATTTGGCGATAAAATACCACCCTCAAGGGTTGAAAATTAAGAAATGAAGAATACAGTTTATTTTAATTCATTATGATGTAATCACATTTAAGTCGGTAACACTTTTTTAAAAGCTAATTATGTATTCATTATAGGTACCTTTTCCCCAAACCTCGACTTAAAAAAAATCGGATGCCATTGAGAGCACAAGGATTTTTACAAGAATACAAATTTTCCCCAGAGTGATTGAGAAATATTTCAAAACATGTGTACATAAGTACGTACATATATAAGTAATTCAGAACACAAGAATATTTGGATAGATTTATTTAAATATTAAAAATTGTACGGAGGTGTAATAAAATCGAAAGATCAAGTTCTTTGTTATTTTGCGCATCTATGATGTATTAAATGCGAAAGTGTGTCTATCTGTCTGTTACCTCTTCATGCTAAATCGGCTGATTTAGATGAAATTTGGTATAGAGATAGTTAGAATCCCGGTAAAGGACATAGGATAGTTTTTATTCCAGAAATCATCCTGATTTTATTGTTTTGACACCCGAGAAATCAATTTTTCGTCGGTCTCTTCTTGTCATCAAATAAAACTTCTACTTATGCAAAAAATAAATATATGCACATATAAACCCATTTTATAAAGGCATATTTTCTACAGATTACTTGTTTATTAATTAATAAAATACTCCTGAGCATTTTTAAATTAAGGGATATTTTGTGGTTATCTTTTTTAAGTTTATTAGACAAAGGCTCACAGAGACGACTTTCAATCCGTATTTTTCCTAGTGCAGGGGCTGGTCATTGCAAACCAGCGTATAAACGAGGCGAGTCTGATGGGCACTTTTGGGACGGGAGCGGTCAGGGGCGGGTTTTTGATTAGTAAAGTTAACTTTATTATAATTTCGGACGAAATTTTAATTTTAATTAATGTATTAAGACATTAAATTAAAATAAATAATATTTATTATGTAAAGTGGTATTACAAGTTATGTTGAGATCACTATATAATACTTTCTTGTATACTAAAATACATATATAACCTATGCAGATTCATTTGATTAAGTTAAAAGATTGTTTTGGTGTATTTTAATCTAGGTCTAAATAGCGAATGTTTTTCACAGGTGTGTTTTACACTTCAATAACTAACGTATTACTTAACATGTTACATTCACTCGACAAAATTATCGGGAAAAACTGTAGGCACACTTAATGCTTTGCTACCAATGCGAAGCCGGGGCGAGTTGCCTGTCAATATTAATGAGGGATTGAATAAAATCACAATCACAGGCTATAAATCATATGATTAATGCATCATATCAGCACACCTGTGATTGATTTACAACACAAGTGCGACTTCATTATTATTATTACTCGCGAAAGCTCTAAATCTGAAAAAAAGGTCGTGATCTTCGATAAAAGGAATTTTGATTGATTTTAATGCCATTCATCTATGTCTATGCCGAAATCTCAATCACATGTGAAATCACTGCGACTAAAACCAATAATTTCATCAAATGAATATAATTTAAAAGTAGCAAAAATTTTCATGTCTAATATTAACTAAGTTATTTCAAAGCTCGTTAAGTAAACAAACGCGAAATAGATAGACATCTCAGACAATATCAGTTGATCAGAATCATTGTTACGTTGAGTTGTGCAAAGGTTATGTCAAAAATAGTGATTGAAGTTACATAAGCGGAGAGTTATTGACACATAACATCACAATATTGTCCATTGAACTGAACTAGACACAATAGGTACATACTTGAACGCAGTTTAATATTAAAGGAGTGCCTTGTACTTATCACGAAGTAAATGATAATAGTTTTTTTGTAGAAGTAACTTTACTAATAAAAAAACCCGCCCTGACTCTCAATCCCTGTTGTTCCTGGTGCAGATGCTGGCCACCGCAAACCAGCGTTAGCGTTTGTTACTACGCTCGTTTGCAATGGCCAGTATCTGCACCAGGAACAACACGGATTGAGAGTCACCAGTTGTCTCTATGAGCCTTTGTCAAATAAAATAATAAATCAGAACGTCAATTCTAGTAAAAAAGTACGAAGAATAGCAAGAAGTGAAGGAAAAAAGTTTTGTTACACATTTTCCGGTCTTCAGTCCAAAATTTTTTTTCAAAATTCAGTTTCGATCCACTCTCAATCTCAGAAATGTCATAAAAGGTATTCTCGTAGTAGAAGTAATTGAGTATTCACCCCATATCTCTAACTTACACGTATGTATATATAACTACATAAAATACAACTCCTACTCTACCAATTATGTACATCTTTACATAAGCTCTTACTGAATAAATATGTTATTATTATCCCTTTCCGTATTCTATTCATCAAATGCCTAAGACAACGAAAACAAAACTCAAATGATTCAAAGATTGAAATAATAAATTTCACATGACCCCAGTGAAACATTTGAGCAATCTCACACATTATGGGCAGTGGAAGCCAAGGCTCCGTGCAGCCCATCTGATAGTCATGCAACTTACATAATAATAGACACAGAAGGCGCATTCATTGTTTCCATACCGCACACCGAGATATTATCTCTTCGCATAGATGAAAAACAATACGAGTAAACATTGCAGAGCGGACATGAGTCTGTTTTCCTTTTGATACCTACGATTTTTTTTTATGAAACTTTTATACTGACAATACATCGACTTAGACGATCATGTATTAAAACTTTTGGAAAGTATCTCTGCTTTGTTAGATTGAAGTTCCTTATCGCGCGTTACACGCTCTGAGCGGATGGGAGCGAGACCGAAGAATGTGTAACAAGACTTTTTTCCGACACTATAGCAAACGTCTACCAAAAAGCGGAAGGAACTTCGTTCCGACCGGGGGTCCCTCACGCCGTTTTGTATAAACATATAGACACCTAATAAAAAATAGATAATTTAGATAAATGTTAAATATGCACTTTACTACGGTTTTGATTCCTTATTATAATGAAATTCATGAATCTACTTGGAAATTCAAAATATTATAAAACTACTTCAAATAAAATATTTTATCTTGACTTATTCATAGGTCTCAACCGTTGCTTGGAGATTAATGCTTCGACACAAATTAGCGGGCTCGACCGAAGTGATTCGACAGCCTCACTGCCAATATCGATGTTAAGCAACTCTTTACTTGCTTTACACTGAGCGAGTGAGGTTATCATATCATAACATATCATATCATAGGCTATCATATCATAACTCAAAGCCCCCTCTCCCCTTTTTATTTCCTGTCCGGAAATCCCCTCGGATACCACCACCACCACAGGTAGTTATGTCGGACTCGAACCGACCAAAAACCGCATGCCGTCTCGGGTAACAGTTGCCGGGGAACCAGGTGTACCCTAGGAAGGAAAACCCCGATACTCCGACGTAACTCGGACTATCTACGGCGCATAAATGACCCCCTCCTGTGTGGGAACCCCTATGTCTACTTTGTGCTTCCGAAAGGGTTCCTGGCCTGCTTCTGCTAGGGTGACAGATTGCCTCACCTACCACCCCTAGGCCTGCGCTTATGGAGGACGGAGGTCATTCTGCGACCTCCGGCGCCTGAGTCGTCTGCGGTACCTGGCCCGTTGCCGGGCCTGGCACTCCGGGAGAAAGCCCTCTCCCCCTATTTCTGGCGGAAGGGACTCAAAGGGCAGAAATTATGTCACTTGATTTATGGGTTCCATAGGCGTTTACTATCAGGTATTTGCCCCTTTACCATAGAAGGCAATAATTTTTTGTTTTTATTTCATAACTTGTTCAGTATTATAAAAGTGTAGATAAATCTTACAGTTGTCTAATTTATAATATGATATTACTTTACTAGAGATTAGTCTTTGAACCTAAAATGTAAACATTCAAACTAGTGCATTTATACTCATAATCATAAGTTACGTACGTTCAATGTCTAACAATGACTAAAATAGCAATCAATTTTGTAAATTACTCGTACTTTATATAAGGACGTCATTTATCTATTACGCTTTCCGCTTTATATACATGGACTCAATGCCATTGATATTCTCTATTTACGAGTTCAGCAGGCAGAAATCTTTTGAGGGATTATTAAGTATCCCATCTGTTTCTTCCGGTTCTTTATTCTTTTATCTCCATTATAAATCGCATTATATTTACATTTAAATTATGCATGGAGCTCGGAAGTTTGTTTTTCATTGTTTTTTTACAATACTCTAAAGTTTGAAGATTGATTTAGTAAGAAGCGAATTGTGTTTTAGTTGTTATCTGAGTAAGTAAGCGTAGTGTAGGAATATATTAGCGTAGGATAGGTCCAATGACTGTGGTATTAAAAAAATCTAAAATCCAGGTAATGTTTAGACGAAAGATATTTTGCACTCGTCTGCAAACTTATACAATGACTTTATCGTAGGCATATAACAAGTACGAAAATACTGAATATTTTTTTAATATGACAATAAATACAAATAAGTGACCGCACGGATGGCGTAGTGGATTAAGCGGCCGCCCCACTCCCTACTGCGCTGAGTGTTGTTGGTTCGATCCACACGGGAGACCACTTTGCGTGATCCACAAATTGT